AATGGTCACTCTTGCCATGTGGCAGATGTATCTTTCTGTTCCTGATGATGCTGACTTTTTTTGGTGAATAAAAAGCTTTCTTCAAGCTCACTTCAGAATCTGTCTATTCCTGTCTGGCTTGCCGCCTTCTCCTGGGCTGAGCCAAGCGAGTCCATGGCCTGCTTTGACCCATGGCAACCTGTTCAGTGCAGAAGGTGGTGCGTCTGCTGGGATGTGGGTTTGTCCAGTATGTGCAGAAACCCACTGCACTTCTCATGCAGGTAGCAAACAATGGTGAGGGGGTGACAGCTTCTGGATAGGGGGGCTCTGGATGGGATGTGAGCTGCTGCCATAAAGATGCTGGTCTTTATACCTCCAGGCTGGTTAATCTGAGCCTGGTGGCCACAGTGGCTGGTGAGAGATCTCGTAGTACTTGGTGGTTGAAGATTAAAGAGCTGTATGGTTCCTGGTTCTCAAATAGAAAGGTGCTCTGCAGGTTGTTTGATGTGGCCTCCAGACGGGCCCACAACTTCCTCCTGCTGGGCCTGCATCCATGGAGACAGCCAGTTGCACCAGACTGTGCCGGGGAGGGACGGCAGAGCGTGAGAGCGGCTGGTCTGAAGGGTTTGGGCTCGGCGGGAGGTTGGCGGAGCTCTCCTCTGCTCCCCACCTTGGTCTGTTTGCCACTGTGGTCAGCGGGGCTTGCTGGACCCCCGGGGGATGAGCTCCCATGGCTTAGCTCTGGCACCACCAGCCAAGAATGTGGTGGTGTATCGCAACGGTGACCCCTTCTTCCCCGGGAGGAAGTTTGTAGTGAACCAGCGGTGGTTCCTGACCTTTGAGGCGTTTCTGAATGAGGTGACCAAGAACATTCACGCGCCCTTGGCTGTGAGGAACCTCTACACACCCAAGCACGGCCACCGTGTCGCTGAGCTGGGGGACCTGCAGGATGGGTGCCAGTACGTGGCTGCGGGCTTTGAAAAGTTCAAAAGGCTGAAGTGAGTAGATGGACCTTTGGTCTCTGGGTTTGGTAGGCAGCTTTAGATCACCTCTGTGGGGAAGGTATTGGGGTGTGAATGGAAAAAAGAGGTAAGGGGTACAACCCCAATGAAAACCAGGCTGATTAATTTATTTTCCTATTGGAAACTACTGGACATGTTCCAGATTGCAAGGAAAATGCAAATATTCCTGATAAGGTCACTTAACTCTCAGAAGAAAACATGTTGGGGGAGGCATGCGTTCTCTGGCAGGATGTTGTGATGGGTGCTGCTCTGCCTCCCGTGCACCGCGTTTTGTGGTGTGTGGGAGGCTCTGCTGCCCGCTTCCTTGGCAGAGCTGACACTCACACTCTCTCCACTGACACATACTTTTGCTTTGGTTTGATGGGGACTTTTTTGTTTTTTAGTCCTGCACAAAATAGAGCTGTTTTGGCTCATCCTGAAATACAAAGGCTTAAAAAGGGTTTTGTAGCATTGCTTGACTCTTGAGGGGACGTGCATGTGTGTCAGGGGAATTTGGCTCCCTGTTGTGTATTGCATTTTCTTGAGGAGGTGGTCCAGGCTGCATTAACACTGGTCAGCCCTTGGATCAGTGATTAACACAAAGGAATAAAATGTTCTGGGTGTCTTTAGCATGAGGATCTGAAATGGTTTGTATTTGGCTGGGTATTTCTTAAATATAGCAGGCTTTACTTTAGCCTAAAGTTCTGGGACACCCTGAAGTGAGGTGTCTGGAGTATCTGACCATTTAGAAGTGACCCACGCACCTGGTGGCGATGCACCAAGGCAGAGCAGTCGGTTGTTTTCTCACTGCTCTTTAGTCAGCCATGGCGCAGTTAGTATGTGGCAATGTCCTTGTCTTGTTCTCGCAGCTATTCAAACCGCGGAAGGAAGGAGGTCCGTGGGAGAAGGAACAGCCAGGGTCTGCAGGTGAGTCCCTGCGCTGGGGGGGGGCAGGTGGGAGCGCAGAATGAGGGAGGAGATGTGAGAGACGTCAGGGCTGGCACTGATGAAACTAAAGTTGAGATTTAAGGCTGCAAGATGCCCAGTGGAGGTGAGGCAAAAGTGCCACAGGAATCCATAGGACATGTGAGACAGCGCAGGGGCTGCTGCTGTGTACCTTCTGCCGCCCCTCCCTCAAGAGTGCAGGGGAAGGATCTGTGCTCGGAGGTTTGCTGGCAATTCTGGAACGCGCTCAGCTATGTGAAGAGCCTCTCCAGCCTTGCTGTTGCTGACAACAAACCTCACTTAGCAGCAGCAAGCCTGAAAGCTGGGCAGGCAGTGTCCCAGGGCAGGCAGCTCCTGACAGAGAAAAGGGAACAGCCCTGGGAGGCTCGGTGCCAGGGCTGTCACTGTTCTTGTCCTCTGAACTCGGTCTCTAGTTCCACACTGTAGCTCCCTGGAAGTCGAATGTCTTGGCGCAATGGCAGAAGCGCACCCACCCGGTCTGCACGATACAGTAAGTGTCTCTGTTTTCTCCTTGGAGGGTCTCTGGGAATGTTTTCAGAGGCTGGAGGAGGGAATTTCTCTGTGAGATCCTGGGAATGCTGCCCCACAGGGACAATGCCCAGCTTCTACCAGAAATATTTGTTGTAAATATTGTCCAGGCACCAGTGGCTGTGGGGTTTTTTTTCCCACCTTCCTGCAGGAATACTGGCTCATCGCATGCTCTGCATTGTTTGTACTGCAGCGTTTTCCGGAATGGGGATTTGCTGAGCCCTCCTTTCCCACTGCCACTCTCCAAGAGCCCCCCACTGCAGTGGGACACACTCCTGGCCATGCTGACAGAGAAAGCCGACCTGCGCAGCGGGGCTGTTAACAAGTGAGTATCCAGATAATGCACTGCTGGCTCCTCTTCCCTTACGTCCAGAACATGCGCAGCTCTGATTAGCACAGAGGACTGGGAGTTCAGACAGCCATTTCTAGTCTGCTTTTGCAATCTCATTTGCTTTCCAGGTTTTCCCATCTTTAAATCAGAGATAACCCCAATGTCCTGGGTGCTTTGTGAGGAGGGCTGATGTTGCTGGTGGTCTGGTGAAAAAGCAATAAGCAAATGAGTAAAGCATGGCATAAAAAAGGGTTTATGTCTAGAGAGAGAGGAGTTTATACAACAAATACAGCCTACCTTCTCGTACATCTATTTACTGACACCCAAAGAGAAAGCTGAGGTATACTGCATCTCACTGATCACTGGGTGTCATGTTTTGGCGTACTTCCTTGGAGTAATACTAAGAATGATTGATCCTCGCTGACTTGTCTCAGTCCTTTTTACCACTTTGCACATGTTTGCTTCCACGCTGAGAGGTTGGTCACAGTCTTGAGACGGTTCTAAAGCCTTTGCTGTCTCTTCCTCAAGGCTCTGCAGGCTGGATGGAACCCAGGTGTCTGGTGGGGAGGAACTGGTGAATGGTGATTACTATGTGGCAGTGGGAAATGAGGAGTACAAAAAACTGCCTTACTTTGAGCTGCTGGTGCCCCAGGATTCTGTATACAAGATGCTGTGGTATGTAAGCTGCGTCTGAGTGGTTTAAAGAGTCATCTCCGTGGTGGTCTTCAGCTAAAGCCGTCCCTTCTGTAGTCCTCCCATTCAGTGACGTCTGCCTTAAGTCTTGCCTCATGTTTTGGAAGTTTAGGAAGAAACAATGTGTTTTCAAAGCTTCTGGTGTAAGCGTTAGCCCCTGAAATCCAGAGTTCAGTGCCAGAGAAAGCAAGTTGTTTGGGCGTTTCTCAGTTAAAGTGTTCATCAAACACTGAGGAGCACCTGCCCATGGGGCCGGACACTGAATTTCACAGGCAGTGTGATATGACAGGAATGTATGCCACTGTGGAGTGTGCTCTACCTGCCCTGAGAAAAAACACCTCCAGGGGCTCTCTTTTATGGGAAAATGGGAGATCATGTCCTCCTACAGCTGACTTCTGCCTGATGCTGAGAATCTGCTGCTTCTTTGTTACAGGAACCACCCAAATAGCAGGCGCAAAAGATGCCACAGAAGGGTAGGTGGCTCAGTTGGCGCGGGACTGTTTTTGCTATGATCGCAGTTGCTTTTGTGCAGGCATCCCTCCATAAGCAGTGGACGTGTACGGCAATCTGCATTCCCAGTCGCCATGGCTACAGCAACCTTGCCTGGCACCGTTCCCAAAGGAGAGGAGCTAGAGACGTCGTTCCCAAAGGAGAGGAGCTAGAGACATGGATGTGGCCAGATCACACTTGAGTTAAATCCCACTGCCTGAAAAAAACCTCCTTAAGGTGGCCTCACTTGCCTCGTATCTTTCCTATGTTGGGGGCTCCAGAGCTGGATGCAGTACTCCAAGTGTGGTCTCACAAGAGTGGAGTAGAGGGGCAGAATCACCTCCCTCGACCTGCCGGGCACACTGCTTTGATGCAGAGCAGGATATGGTTGGCCTTCTGGGCTGCGAGTGCACAGAGACTACATAGAGCAGCTGGGCTGTCCTGGTTTGTCTGTTGAAACTTGCATCTGTGCTATTTGCTTTTAAAATTTCCTTTTCCCTTTTTTGTTTTCAGTTTGGTGAACTCTGTGCCATCTCCCAGGTCAGTGCTGGTGACTCTGCTCTTCCTGAACCACCTCAACAGGTAGTAATGACTGCAGAAAGTGTTTTATGTCTTCCTTGTATCCGTTTCACTTGTAACATCAACTTAAAACCCTGGTCATAGAGTACAGTGTTACAGCTTTGTGCCAGTCAGGACCAAGGGTCATAGGGGAACATTGCAGTTGTTTGGGGGATCGCTCTGCAAAACTTCTCTTGTTTTATAAAGTGTTTTATCAAGAAGGCCTATCAGAAGCGTGTGATGAATACTTTCAGCTGGACAGTCGCAGGGTGTGGACCACAGGAGCTGCAGAGGAAGACAAGATCCCAGCTGCTTTTCCACAACTGCAAAGGCAAGCCAGGAAATCTTGCCTTGAAGAGGAAGAGTCCATTTTCCATGTTAAACCTGTCCGTGCAGGACAAAAAAGGAGGAACAACAGGAATGCGCAGCACTGGCCTGATCAAGGTAAAGGACACTGCTGTAAGTGTAAAGACTGGCTTTACTTGGATGATACAGGAGAAAATACCTGCAGATGCACTGAAAGAAACCAATGATGCATCCAGTAACTTCTGTACTTCTTTCCTTTCCTCATCTGGGCACATGTGAGGACCTTTCTGTAGCCTCAGCAAGACCAAGCCATGGCTCTTTGCAATACCCATTGAACAGCTTTTTTCTTTTTTTTTCTCCTCGCAGAAGAAAATGTCTATAAAACCAGGGATCCTAAGCATGAGGTGCGAGGTGCCCAAGAAGTAAAAGAGGACGAACGCACAAGGGTGGACGTACCCATTGATCAGGTACGAGAAATTATTTTCTGCCCTGTTAAGAGTCTCACTGCTGCAGGGAAGTACTCAGGGTCTCACTAGAATCTAGCCCTTAGGAGACAGCCTCTGAGAACACTCAGTGGATAGTTTATAGCAATTGCTTGAGGAAGTCCTTCCATTTTTGCACTCGTTTTAAATCCTATTTGTTAGGTTTACGAAGCACTGCGCTTCCCTCTGCAATGTGTAAAGATGAAAGTAACCACCAGGGGGAACTTCAGAAACCAAAGGACAGTGCGTAACCTCAGGGCTCTGCATTTTAGAAAGCCGAGTGATTGTCATCTGGGTAATGAACACTTCCCTTCTGGAATGTGAGAGTTACAGCTCCCCACTGCAGTAGGAATATCAAAGGCTTTCCTGGATTTTTCTTGTGTGTACTACTACTACTCTTACTCCTGTTCCAGAGAGTTGCAGAAGAACTTATACCAAAAGCCAAAATGATACACCGCAGTAAGGTATTTATTCCGCTCAATAGTTCTACGAAGTGTGTAAGATCCTTCCTGTCTGTGTTCAGATTTCTTACACTAAAATTCAAATATAACTTATTAAGCAGAACTTACCTGTAGCCAGGTGAAGCTTAGAAGCTAGCGTGGAATAAACATGTAATTCATAAAATGACCAAACACATTTATTAGATAGTAACAAATTTAAACCCTTTTTTTAAAGAGGGGAAAAAGAAAAGTAGTTCTCTTTAAAACAAAATTCTGTGTGAAAGATGTCTGTGAGATGCTTATTGTTTGTGGCATATTAATGTTTTAAATTCATAAGGAGATGTAGAATTGATGTGATGGGATGACATGCATTATATTGTAGGTGATTCACACTTCTGCCTAGGTAGTCTCTTTGGATTAATTAGAACTTCAAAGGAAAACAACTCCTTTGAACTTAAATTAGAGTAAGCGCTAGTAAAGAATTAGCTAATGGTTCCTGACTCCTTGGCTCAGTGGGGAGCCTGGTGTGCTGTGTTTGCTTTAGAGGCTGGCCAGCTTTTCTCAATGGGGTGGGCACTCTGATGCCGCTGCTTTCCATCGGCCTTTTCCCTCCCAAGAGCACACTGCTATACAGTTGGTATTATTTGAGTGTCACAGCTCTCCTCTGCAGTGGGAGAGAATCATTAGGCATTAAATAAACTACCTTTGAATTTAATGGAGAGACCCAAGTTTGCATACCAAAGCCGTGGTAAGACTGGAAGCGGAATCCAGGAATTTAGTCCCAGAATCTTTCTGTAATAGCAAAGTGCTACATTAATAACTGTATTTCTTTCTCGCTGCAAAAAGGCATGGACTGCAGACAAATCACAAAAGATTGTGGCAAGGAAAAGGGATGCCAGTGACTATGAGGATGAAAAGCACTCAACGACATTTCACTTGGCAGCCAAGAGCTCTGAAGAGTTCACACAGAGACTGTGATGGGAGAGGGACAGTTAAGTACACCGCTGTCTGTACAGCTGCAGATAACAAAGGCATGGGAATCCTAGATTTCTGTACCACCACAGACTGGCTGAGCTTTTCGATGAATTAACAAACTGTTCTAAAATCAAGCACCCTCACCATCTAGGCTTGAGAAGCAGAGCACCAGTGAGCAATGAATCAGGTGCACAATGTTGTTAAATAATGAAGATCTTCCCCTTTCCTCATTTCAATGGTGTGATAACGTAGCACAGGAGACAGCTGCTTTTCAGAACTCTAATTATTAAACTGGTTTGTATCTGAACTTGGGAAGGAAGAATTACCAAATAGAATATATGCTTTTATAATGAGATGTCTGCCAGGAAGTTTATTCTATCTCAGATACTTCTTATAAAGAGATTTCATCGCATCATTATCCCTCTCATTTGGAATGCTTGGATAATGTTTGCAGCAATCAAACCTGTTCCTAAAAATACATACATCTTTTTTCTGTTAACTTGTTTTAAGAGCACCTGCCCGATTTAGGAAAAGTCATAGCAATAAACAGCTCTTGTATTAACCCTCTTTGTGCAAGGCTGTCTCTATTTCCCTCCCTAGTGTTTGTGATTAATTACAAGGGTAACCAGGGTTTCTCCTGCTGTGATCTATCGGGTATTGTGGACTGATAATTTCACTGAAAACACCCTTCCTTCCCTAGGACAAACTGCACTGTTGTTATTTTACAGATGAGCGGCGCTCTACAGGACTCCAGTGGAGAAAAGCCATGTGGTAACCTCAGTGTAAGGGCCTGTGCAGGGTGACCTGGTACATTACAGCTGAGCACGATGGAGGGAGCCACTTTCGCATGCTTGGCCATAAAAGGGAGAGTTCCTAAGTAGATTCCTTCTACAGAAAAACCAGTTGGTCCCAGAAGCTCCTGTTGAACAATTTATTAACCATTTATTATCCCTCTAGAGCTGAACAAGACAATTCAGTCATCCTTGCTTTGAAACACCCACAGACAAAACAATCCATAACTGAAGACGTTAAATAGGATGTCCTTGCAACATGCCTTGTTCCACCCTGGTGCTCAGGGAATACAGTCCACACTTCCACATTTTTTGACATCCTTGTGTCAAAATACAGCCTCCTAAGTACAGCCAAGCCAAAGGGTCTGCTGCTGAGCCTGATGTTCCCCCTTCTGTCACGGGGGGTTACCTTTGAACAGGTTTTCTTCCTCTGCTTCTCACTGTGTCTTGTTCACGAACCAGCTACACAAAGTGTGACTCCTAGGACAGGGAGCAGCATCCCTGCCACAGCCCCTACAGAAATGAACAAGAATACGTTGGGAACTTGCGTAATTCAACGCTGGTCAGTCACACCTTCTCACTGCTAAATACACGATGCTCAGATGTCATGGTAAATAGGATAGCATAAGTGTCTGGACAGGTACAACCTGGACCAGGTGAGTTCTGAAGGGGTTTGGATGTTTGGACTGCCCGTGTATGTTAAGCAAAGCATGTTTCTAAGAAAATGTTGCCAATGCTGTGTCTGCCTAGCAAGAACCAGGCTTAAACAACGTAGAAACACTTTAGTGTATTCCTACAGCTATCGTGCCAGGCCCCGGTGGTTTTAAGTTTTCAAGTTTTCTGGTATTTTTTGACTTTCTGAGCAGGGTAATGTTATTGTAGGATGAACGGGAAGGAAAGAAGGATGAGCGTTGACATTTGGGGGCTACTGGGGCGCTCCTTTTCTATGGCAGACACGTTATTTAGTGCTTCTCTTACAGTTAAACATTTAGTTAGGTAAAGGCTCAGGCCTGTAAACTCTGTTAGCTTAGAATAGCCAATTCTTGCTTCTAATTTACTAGCCCTGCCCACTTACAAGTTAATTTCACTTCTCTTTCAGGTTCTGTAGCAAGAACTACTACTTAACTAGTTACAGCCCTTGTGTGGGTATTTGTTGTTTTTCAGGAGACCAGAGGGTAGCCCATGCTATTAAGTCAGCAAATGGATGCAGGAGACAATGTGAGGAAATGTTTTAAGTGTAACTTACCTTTACCACCAATGTCCTCTCCCAGAATCCTCCCAGTCACCAGCGTGACTATCAAAGCCAGGGAGTTACAGAGTGGTACTGCCAGGGACAGATCTGAAATTGAACAGTTTTAACACACAGTTTAAAATGGATAACCTTGTACAAATCTTAAGACATGTTTTATTTGTGATGTTTAGCTGGGTCACTAGAGTAACCAATAGCACTGATCCTCCCAAAATCCCAATCAACCCACTCCACGAAAGCAACAAGAACTAACCTGTGGATGCCAAGGTGATGTAAAAGAGGAGAGATCCACCTTGATTGAGCAGAAACGGCACCATGTACTGTGGGAAGAACGCAGGTCCCTTAGTTGTTGCACATAAATCCACAGTGCACCCCCAGCGAGTGGGCAGCAATGGAGCCCAGACTCACTTGCCCTGTGCCGTGTTTGGCAGCGGAAATGCAGCAGGCTGGCAATTCCGCTGCCAGTCACAAGCTGCTCAATGTCTTAGTTCCCCAATCTGCAGAAGGCATGCTGTGCTTATTTCATTCAAAATATGAGGGTTAATGACCTGCCGTGGTCATTGAGACTACAAAAGCGGTCTCAATTCTGCATGGGAATGTGACAAGCTCAGTATTGTTTG